GTCAGTGTGCTCCCACAGCCAATATCCCACGGCCAGCCAACCTTCCATGGTCCCTCCCTCCTGCCGGTTGGCCCCCCATAGGCCCAGATCAGGGGGGCTGGCTGGCTAACCTCTCGGGGTCCCTCCCCCCATCACTGGCTGGCCCCACGATAGGCCTCCATCATCAACCAGGCCAAGGGACCCCACCAGTGCACAAATTTGTGCACCGGGCCTCTAGTTTAATTATAAACATTAACGCCCCTCAAAAACAAAGCAAATAAACCTAATAAGTTTTTCTATGGATGATAATAGAAGAAACAAAGTTAAAAGATTTATGACAAATGGAATATAATATTTGCAACTATTATAATACACAGTGGTTAACATCGTCAATATATAAAAATTTTCTAAAAATTAAATGAAAAATTCCACAACCCCAAAGGAAAAATGCACTAGATATATGAATAGGTAGTTCAGTGAGAAAAATTCAAATTACTCTACAGTAGGGGTCCTCAAACTATGGCCCGCGGGCCACATGCAAATACAAATATTGTATTTGTTCCCGTTTTGTTTTTTTTACTTCAAAATAAGATATGTGCAGTGTGCATAGGAATTTGTTCATAGTTTTTTTTTTAAACTATAGTCCAGCCCTCCAACGATCTGAGGGACAGTGAACTGGCCCCTTGTTTAAAAAGTTTGAGGACCCCTGCTCTACAGCAATGGAAAGATGTTCAACTTTTCTCATAATAAGAGAGATGTCAACTATTTAATAAGGGAAAACTAAAAGAAGATAGAAATGGTATTTCAGTGAAATACCATTTCCCACCCTCAAACTGGCAAAAATGAAAAGTGACAGTGTACTGTGTTGGAAAGACTATGGGGGAACAGGCATTCTCATACATTTTTGGTGAAAACATATAGCATGGTATAACCACTTTAGAAGGAAATTTGGCAATATACAGCAAAGTCATCTATGGGTTTACTTTTTGATTTAGCAATCCTACTTGTAGGAATCTATCCTAAAGACATCTGGGGAAACATGCAAAGGGAGGTGTACTTCAAATTATTCATTAGAACCTACTTTGCAGCAAAAGTAGAGAAACAACCCAAATGTATATCAATATAAGACTGGTAAAATAGGCAATGGTTTACCACACAATGGAATACTATGCAGCAATACAAAGGAATGGGGAATATTTTTATATATAGTTATGAAACAACCCCTAGATTATATTAAATGAAAAATGTAGGCCAGAAAAAGTGTGAATAATATGCTACTGCTTATATAAGGAGGAAATACATATACATAGAGACACACACACATATAACATTTTAGTATTTTCTTTCATTAAAAAAGGAATGATAATTCTTTAAAAATACATAAATTGACACCTAAAGGAATAGGAGAGAATATAGAAATATATAGACCTTGTTTTGAACATAAATTTTACATATTACAAACAAAATTAAAATAAAACCATCTAAAAGTATAAAGAAAAATGGAACAAATGCACTTAATTGTATATAAAGTTAGTGGTTTAATAAGATAGAAAGGAACTATACCAAATGACTTTGAAACATAGTCATTTAGTGAACATTCTTAGGGGTTATACCATAAAGAAATAAAACCTACAAGAAAAATCTTGAAACTCTTTTCAAACAATCATGTTGCTGGTGGTAGTGTTAGTCTAAGACTATTGAATGTGTCTTTTGAGATAAAGCAAATGTGCAAATATATTGCTGTTATTGAGAACTGGGATTTGGGGCATGGAAAGAAGTAGAAAAAGATCTAAGTTTGATAAAGTTAGGTAAAAATCACATAGCACTGGTTTTGACTATGGCATTAGTATAATCCAAATGGTTATTCTCTTAGAAAGAAAGGGAAAAAAGAACATTTTCTAGCTTTGTGCACTGAAAGACCTAGAAACTGTGATAGACTAAGTAGCAATGAGCATCCCTATTGCCAAGACTGTAGTCTCTAGATTGCATTATATGGAAAGAGAAAACACAGGTGTGTTTTTTGTTTTGTTTTGTTTTGTTTGTTTTTTTTTGGAGAAAGAGTAGATTTAAAGTTCAGGGAAGAAAATGATGACCCTAGGGCCTCCTTGCCAAAAACTTCCTCCTCGCCAAAAACCTCCTCCTCGCCAAAAACCTCCCTCCCTCTCTCTCTGGCATAAGGCAGAGGGTTTTCAAGCCATACCAAAAGGAGGGATAAAGAACTCTACTTCTCTACTTGGACACAGAGCAGTTCAAGTAAAACCCCAGAGGCTTGAAATAGTGTAGAAGTTTGGGAATTATGATGTGTTCCAAGGATGGAAGTATTGGTTTTGGGTGAAGATCCAAATTATTGTGACAGGGCAAAGTTCACTCTTACACCTTTTTTTTTCCTGGTAGATTCAACTAAGACCACTTGTTGAGGTTAAAGCAATCACATTTGCCTCTTTTTTTTAACAGTTGTATCTCAGACTCAGGCTCAAAAACCTCTCGGATGAGTTGTCACACCTGTATACTACTCTCACCTCACCCTAGCATAACCATGTGTACATGTTTATCTAGATTAAAAGATGGTGAGAACATCAAGAGAGAATGAATATTGGGAGAGTATGGGTATATTGACTACTTATTATCTCATCCTAATCTCTAATTTATTATTGCAGTTCTTCCAGAGCAGTCCAAATAAGACCCCAGAGGCTTGAAATAGTGTACAAGTT